AACGTTCATGTCCATTTAATCGAGTAGAATTCAAAAATATGAAATTTTCCAAAACAAATTTTTTTTAAAAAAAATTGTCTTTTCTAAATTATTTTTTTTTCTAAAAAATTCCAATTTGATGTTGTATACTAACAAGAAATTTTTAGTAAAATTTTATCGTTCCCGCCACACCCCCGACATTCTCCACCTTGTCCCCGCCCCCAACAAATTAGGGGACAATAATGGGGGACTACAAACCTATCCTATAGCTTCCTAAAATGGTTAAAAACTAACTAAATTTTCTTACTCACAAAAAATTAACTCTTGGTTTAGAATTTTTAAAAAAGAGACTCATTTATAAGTCCTTTTTTAGATACTTAAGCATCCCGATTAGTCAAAAAGTTATTAAAAAAGTCAAAAATCCAACAATCCATACCAAAAAGTCAAAGATTCTATTTTCTCTTTACTTTTTGCACATTTTTTCGTAAAAAGTCAAAAAATCATCCCAAACATACTAGTTTGTTTTAGCTCATATTTTAGTCAAATAGTCAAAAAATTACTAAATTAGCCTGTTCCCAAACGAGGCCTATGTAATTTCTTATAGAGTCTCAAGTCTTATTTAGATAGGAATGTATTTCACAAGATCCTATATAAACGTAACGTAATGTAACGTGGCACCTACATAAACATAACATAACGTGACACCTACATAAACGTAACGTGACACCTACATAAACGTAACGTAACGTGACACCTACATAAACGTAACGTGACACCTATACGTAACGTGACACTTACATAAATGTAACGTAACGTGTCACGTTACGTTTCGCAAACTTAATGAGTTTTTATTTTTTCAAATTGAATGTGAAAATGTTGTTGGTTTAGATTAGTGTCACGTTACGTTTCATATAAATATGATCTATGGTAACATTCAATTTCCTAGGTGTCACGTTACGTTTATGTAGGTGTCACGTTACGTTACGTTACGTTTATGTAGATATAATCTATGGTAACTATAGCGACCCCGGTCTTTTCCCATTTGATTACTGTATCCGGACTTAGGTTCCGTAGATTCTGTCATTATATAATTGTTGTTGTTGTCCTATAGTATCTGGACTTAGGTTCCGGTTATTCTGTCATTGAATAATTGTTGTTGTCGTCCTTTATTCTCTCATTTGGAGTTATAGGAAGTGTTGGGCAGGTTTGTTTCAGGTTGGTTGGGTTCGTAAACCAAGTGTTGCTGTCCAGTTTTTGAGTTGGTCGCTCGATCCAAGGATTTGTCGCTCGAGCGAGGGTTGTATTTTGCGTCTTATGGCTCGATCCAGCTTTGCTTCGCTCGAGCGAGCGACTGCGTTTGGTTTACACCTGAGGGTAGTGCTTATTCGCTTGAGCGAGATCTTCTTTGCTCGAGCGAGTGAGGTGTATTTTTTCGAGTTCCTAGCTCGAGCGAGCATTCTGTCGCTCGAGCGTGCTCCAGGGTTGCAGACCTGTAGCTTTGCATTCTTGGCTCGAGCGAGCTTTTCTTCGCTCGAGCGAGGTTTTCGTGTGTCTGGTCGCTCGAGCGATCAAGTCTTCGCTCGAGTGAGCCTGTCCAGTTTATATACGCAGCAGCGGGTTTTGATCAGTCTTTTTCATCTTCTTTTTGATTCCAAACCCTAGGTCCGACTTCTCTCTCTCCCCACTCACCTTCTCTCTTAGGTTTGATCTACTTAGAGTAAGTTTCTACCTTAGATCCTTTATTAGAAAGATAGAGTGGGTCGAGGGCTTCCATTTAATCTGAACATTTGGCGATTGGAGCACATTGGTATTTGGGCACTCATCTCTGTCTTCGCCTTTTGGGTTGTTTTCTTCGAGGTAGAGATTTCCTACTCCATTCTATAGGTTTTGTTCTAAGTTTTGGTATTTTGATATGTTGGGGATACTTTGGTAATTTTGGGAAAACCCTAGTTGTATTAATGAATTAATTTGTATAATCAATTCATGGAATTGGGAAAATATGGTTAAACTCATGGAGTTGGGGAATTCATTGATTAAATGGCGTAGTTGGTTAATTTAAATCACTCGTCTATTGAATTGTTGGTATATTTATTTCCAAGTCTAGAAATAACTGTTTTGGGGCTATCGGTGGAGGATAGTCGTGCTTGTTGTAGACACTGCATGTGGATTAGGGATAACAAGAAATTTTTAGTAAAATTTTATCGTTCCCGCCACACCCCCGACATTCTCCACCTTGTCCCCGCCCCCAACAAATTAGGGGACAATAATGGGGGACTACAAACCTATCCTATAGCTTCCTAAAATGGTTAAAAACTAACTAAATTTTCTTACTCACAAAAAATTAACTCTTGGTTTAGAATTTTTAAAAAAGAGACTCATTTATAAGTCCTTTTTTAGATACTTAAGCATCCCGATTAGTCAAAAAGTTATTAAAAAAGTCAAAAATCCAACAATCCATACCAAAAAGTCAAAGATTCTATTTTCTCTTTACTTTTTGCACATTTTTTCGTAAAAAGTCAAAAAATCATCCCAAACATACTAGTTTGTTTTAGCTCATATTTTAGTCAAATAGTCAAAAAATTACTAAATTAGCCTGTTCCCAAACGAGGCCTATGTAATTTCTTATAGAGTCTCAAGTCTTATTTAGATAGGAATGTATTTCACAAGATCCTATATAAACGTAACGTAATGTAACGTGACACCTACATAAACATAACGTAACGTGACACCTATATAAACGTAACGTGACACCTGCATAAACGTAACGTAACGTGACACCTACATAAACGTAACGTGACACTTACATAAATGTAACGTAACGTGTCACGTTACGTTTCGCAAACTTAATGAGTTTTATCTTTTCAAATTGAATGTGAAAATGTTGTTGGTTTAGGTTAGTGTCACGTTACGTTTCATATAAATATGATCTATGGTAACATTCAATTTCCTAGGTATCACGTTACGTTTATGTAGGTGTCACGTTACGTTACGTTACGTTTATGTAGATATAATCTATGGTAACATTCAATTTCCTATATCATAAGTGTCACATTACATTTATGTAGATGTCACATTACGTACAGGTGTCACGCTACGTTTATGTAGGTGTCACGTTACGTATAGGTGTCACGTTACGCTTATGTAGGTGTCACGTTACATTACGTTTATATAGATATGATTTATGGTAACATTCAATTTCCTATATATGGTTTTATTATTATTTATGATATTAACAACTAATATTGAGGGTAAATGTGTCAACAAACTTCCCACAGGACTTATGGAAAAATAAGTTTTTTAGTAGAACCATATGTAGCATAAGTCTCCCTAATAAGACTTATAAATAATTTTCCCTTTTTAAAAATAGTTTTTTGAGTTTTCAGTATGTATTTTTTTTTATAGTGTTTTTTAACATTTTAATCAACTTTTATTTTTTATTTTTTAGATTCACATAATCTAGACACAGTGAAAAAATATAAGATTCACATAATCTAGATACAGTGAAAAAATATATAATTTGTACAAATATTTTTAAAAATTTCACTGAATACAATAAAATACGAAAAATATATATAATTTTTGTATATATAAATATATATTGTATTAAATGAATTTTTTGAAGTTTTTTTTGTACAAACTTCGTCCTTTTTAAGTATAATTACCTTGTTTGGGAACAAGCTATTTTAGTAATTTTTTAACTTTTCACAAAAGATGTGCAGAAAAATAGAAAAAATGATGTGACAACTTATAGTAATTTTTTTACTAAAATTGAAAGTCGACAAACGAAGTAAATCTAAAAACTAAATAAACATTGATTTTTTTTTTTTTAAGATATCCATTGAAAACAAAAATACAAATTCTTTTAAAACTCCAAACCAAATAAAGTGGTTAATTTTTCTAATAAATTTTCTAGTATACATGTAAATAAAAGCAAACTGACTGTATTTCGACCAAGGGGTATTTTGGAAATATGGTTAAAAGTTGATTTTTTGACTTTTTTATGTGAGAGGGGAAGTGGGCTAAAAGTTGGAAAGTGACTTTTAACCCACTTTCCAAATGAGCCCAAAATTGTAGAACTCAGAACCTCAAAGGTCTCATCTTATGAATTGCTATTTGAACACTTATATTTCTTCTTAGTTCACACTATATTTTTTTTTTTTTAAATTAATTTTGATTTTACGTCAATCAAATTATCATTTGATACAAATGGCACACACCTTTCTCCAAACACCAAGCCTTCACAATTAGCCCCCACCACCGGAATTTGACCTCCTTCCCTACCTGCATGCCACCCTCCACCATTCTCTCACTCTTGCAATACCCTCATAGCCACACTCTTATCACCTCTAAAACCCTAGTCTTCACCTAATCACTTTGAAACCCAAAATCTAATAAGAAGATGAATGAGGAGGGGCGACAGGAAAGCAAGGGGGGCTGGGAGGAGGAGTGGTGGAGGGGAGAGGATTTGGAAAGTAGCTGTAAGGAAGTGAGGGTAATAATGGAAATAAGTAGTGTGAATTTAGAAAAACACGAAAAACATTATGTATCATATGCACCTTATAATTAAAGAAGAAAATGACATAATTTTATACTTTCTGAGTCAAATGTCATAACTAAACACAATCTGAGGTATAACTAAAGATCTCACTAGTCATAACTAAAGTAATGTCACAACTAAAAAAGAAAATTAGTGATAACTAAGGAAGAAAATAGTATAATTAAAAGTGTATATAGTATACCCTTTTAAAGAGTGTGTATATTAAAATTTTCCTATAAAATATTATTAAAAAAAAAAATCGAATTCTTTATATACCCAAGCTCCCCTGGATATTAATTAATTATAGTCTGCGCTTTCCCCTGAAATTCCAATAAATGAAAGAAAGGAATTAGAATACCCTGAATTTCTTGGAAACATTCAGGAAAGAAATAACACAATTTTGGGGATTTGATCTTGACCACACTGGAATCAACACGTCTTTATATATCAATTTTCCTTTTCCATATATTACATTACACAAGGTGTGTGTGGGCTGCTTTACATGACCGTTCTTCCAAAAATGAAGAAGGAACTTGGTCCTTGTCCCTGTTTCGCATTTTTTCTAGTCTTGTTGGTGTGTTTAACAGAATCAGCAACACCAAAGAGTGAAAGTGGGAATATAGGTGCCATAGTAGATAACAGCAGTTCTAGGATGGGTAAAGAGGCCAAAGTGGCCATGGAGATAGCAATTCATGATTTCAACACTCAAACCACTACCAATCAAAGCTTGATTCTTCGTCTTCACATTCCAATAATTAGCAAGCAAAGTGAACCCATTCAGGCAGCTCTTGCAGGTATATATATATATATGTAATTCAACATGTTATTATCTTGGAAAATGTCTCGTAGCTCAAATTTTGTGGCTCAAAAGTGGCTCAAATGGCCAAAACTACGTCGTTTTGGCCATTTTTATGTTGTTCTGTACTCAAAACGACGTCGTTTTGACCATTTGAGCCACTTTTGAGCCACAAAATTTGAGTTACATAGCATTGTCGTATTATCTTATCTTTGAGCTTCGGGCAATGGCACAGCCGGTTGAACAGCTAGGGACGAATGGTGCGGGTTTGTCATCCCCAGCCCCCGCTTTCAAATCCCACCCTCGCCCTTGCCCCAACCTCGTTACAGATGGAATTTTTCAACCACATCCCCGTTTCCGCGGATACCCTCGAATATCCGATCACATTTCAAATAGTCAAAAAAAATTGAAAACTATTTAAATCCTTAACACACTAAATTATTTCTCTTATTTCCATATATATAAATAGTGAAACTTTTAGGATTATTATTTATTTATATTTAAACAAAACTAGAGACTTTACTATTCTTTTCTTATATCTAATTTTATTATATATATAATATATAATATATAATATTTATTTATATATATTATTAATTATATCGGGTCGGGTTTGGATCAGGAGATACTCCTGTTACAACTGACCAAAATATAATCCCCTCCCTGTCCACATAAGTATCGGGTTGGATAAAACCCGTCCCATTTGAACGAGTATGGATAGGCCCCGCGAATCGAACTAAAATGGTCATCCCCACATAAGTCCTAAATTGACAGAAACCCCCAAGCTTAATAAAAGAAGTTAGGATGGGTTTCATAATTGCTTTTTCAATATATTTTTTTTTAGATAAAATTGTTGCTACAAAAAAACTTATACATTTGATTAATGTTAAGAAAAGCTAGCTTGCTTGTTAGACAGTTCACACGAGTTGATGTGGAATTTTTTTTTTTTTTTTTTTTTTTTTTTCAAAACGTATTCAGTGCATCTTTTGAATTTTCTGTTCACGTTTTATAAAAGTAAAAAATTTGAACACAAATTTTAAGAATAAAGAAGAACTAAAGACGGCAAAATTTGCTCTACCATGCAAAAAAATCTGACAATACTTTTTTTTAACTCTCCTTGTGTCACAACTTGTTCCTCATACTCAAGAGTTAAGTATCGTGATGATCAGTAATTGAATTTATCTCCAGTCAATTTTTAAATAAATTACTAAACGCGAACGAAAAAATATTTAAGTGGGGGTATCAAAATAATTATCGGAGTTTTATTTTTATAATAAAATTTATTGATCAAAAAGGCCGATATTTACATATAAAGAATAGAATTATAAATGCTATAAAAGTTGTTACCCAAAAAGCAATCTAAGAGGGGGTGAATTAGGTTTCTACAAATTAAAATTAATAATACCCCAATAAAATTAACTACTAGTACAACAAATTATTAACAAGCACAATGATGAACTTAGCAGTAAATGATCAAGCAACATAACAATGAAGTATAACTAACATACATGGTAAATCAAATGATTAACACATGAATATTAGATAGATATAGCAGTAGTAGGAAAGTAAAGAGATTAGGGAAAATGATAGTGGTTCGGCTTCAACCAAACCTACATCCACTCCTCAATTTTCACTTGAGATTTTTCACTATCTTCTAGCTTCACAAGGTACTAGCAACCTTTTCACAGATGGAGCAATCCTTCACAGATTTTACACAAATTTTCTAAGTCAAGAACACTGAGTGTACTACATTCTTACTAGGTTGAAAATGTGTTTTTGCTTTCACAGAGAGTTATAATAATTATCTCTCAAAGATAAATATAAAAATGAAACTCTGGTTTTTCTGTAAACCTCACACATGAAAGATAAGCTTAATGCTATAAGGCTCAGTGTATAATTTTTGAAAGAGGATGTAAACAAAAATTGGATAACACTTCTCAGAGAATTTTTCAGACAATAGATGTGAGTGATTATAGATCAAAGAATATTTTCTGATTTTTTTAGTAATTTGTTTACATTAGAAGCTTTGGTATATATAATGAAACTTATAACCGTTTATAGCCGTTGTATTCATTAGAATTTATAGCCATTTATAGCCGTTGTATTCATTTGAATATCTTTCACTCCATCATTACTAATTTGAATATCTTCCACTCCATCATTACTAATTTGAATATCTTCTACTTGAACCTTTTGGCATGCTGCTGTGCTGGGCTATTTGAACCTTTTTGGTCTGCTGCTGTTCTGAGCTGTTTGAACCTTCGTCTTGGGCTGTTTGAACCTCTGATTTAATCAAATATTAAATACATTCTAACAACATTTAGGATAAAAGTTTAGGTAAGAAATAATAGGACAAAATAAATTTTGATTCTATTTTTCTCTTTCAAATAAATTAAAACATAAAATCATCAAAATAAATGTTGATTCTATTTTTTTCTGTCAAATAAATCATCAAAATAAATAAGTCTAACAATCTCTCCCTTTTTGATGATGGCACACAATGATGTTTTGATTTGATTTGGGAGTAAGAAAAGCTTCCCCTCAAGTCATACTCCATGAATTCATTTCTAAATACATAGGTTAGCACATGTGTAATAAACAAGTTTTAATCAACAACATGATATAAGATTAAGATATCAAACTATAAATACATAACATATTATAATTTCTCCTCTTGTGACATTATCAAAAGGAAATCATGGGTCAGAATCTGGAGGAGGAGAAAGAGGAAAATGATAGTAATAAACGGCATCTATACAATTCAAAACATATATATACGATTCGCACGCCTCTCTCTTTTCCATTGAAAATCGCGTCGGACAGGCGTTCTCGCTTTTGCGTCAGCCAACCGACACAAGCGAGACGAGTCAATCAACAAATATATATATGCACATATATGCATATACATACAACTCTCACACGTCTCTTTCTTTTTTCGCAAAACGCGGTTGCCACGCGGCCTAGTTTTTTCTTCATTGGCCGATAAAAGCAGCTGTCCTCGATTGCCGCTCGCCTCAGCTATCTCTCCCTCCTTATCTACTTCTCTTCAACCTCTTCTCTTCAGCCTTTTTCTTAATCACATTCGTCTGCTTCTTCCTCTTCCTCGAAAGACAGAACAGAGAGACTGAGCAGAGCAGAAAGGCTGCCAAAAACGACCCTCTTTTCGATTACATCTCTCTCTCCTACTACATGGCCTCATCCCGTCCCCTTACTCTCTTTCCGGACCTGAATGATCCTGTAAACGCTGCTGGGCCAAGTGCCCGGGCTCCTACGCTTCCCAACCTTCCTATGATATCGATTGAGCAAATAATGACAACTCAATCAGATATTGAAGCCAATCATTTCACACTGACGTCCTGTATGGAGACGGTGACTGCAGTCACAAAATTGGCTCACCGATTGCAGAACAGGACGAGTGAGCTCCATCAGGTCAACGCCCAACTCTCTCTGCTCCAACGCATGTACAAGGATGCACGAGCAGAAATAGACGCACTAAAGGTCGAAAATAAAGAGCTTAAACGGAAGACCACCTCTATGACCCGATTTGAGCAACGTCGTTATTGGCCTTTGATAGTCAGCGAGGAATCGTCGCTCGCAACGAAAGCACAGGGGTAGGGCCTGCAAGGGCCTCCCAAGGTAATAAAAAGAAAAAGAAAATGATGGAAGAGGCGAGTAAGTAAGATCGGCGTATGGCCGCAAAAAAAATGAAGGGTGTTTTTTTATTTGATTTTTTATGTAAATATTTGTATTTTGATTTGTTGTTGTGTTTATGTTTAAGTACTGAAAAATGAAATTAAAGAGTAGAGAAAAAAAAAAGAAAATTAAGCCCAAACAAAAAATAATAATGAGAGACCAAATTGTTAATGAGTATATAAGAAGCATTTGAGCATGATCTAATTCTCAATTTCTTAGCAAGAGCATACCAATCTCAAGACTATAATAGACATAACAGTGCATAGATCAAACAAGGTTACCAAACAAGAGCATAAATATAGAGCTAAAATTCAAGTCACTCTTCCTTGAGGAAAACGATCTTCCTCTTACATTATCAACAACTAATCAGCTCAAAGGTCATGTTGTAAGAATTAAGATACCAAAAGCATAGAGGTACCAAAATAATCAAAGCTACTAAAACAATCAAGTCTCTTTTTCTCTCCCGATGACATTTTCAACAAAATCAAGCACAAGGAAGGAGTATGGTACAACATATAGGATGAAATAATGTAAGTCTCATTATAGCACAAATAATCATCCATATCAAGGTAGCTCTATGATACGAAAAAAATGATAGCACATAATGATCATACAATTGAAGCTCATACCATTTGACAATAATGGGCAAAAAAAATAGTAACATGTGAAGGTGCAAGCCCATAAGTTTGATATCAAAATAGAATAGAAACTGAGGGGATTTTAAAAAATAATCAAGTTTAAATTCTTCCCCTTGTTTCATTTGGCAAAATCAATAGGAGATATGATAAATGAAAGCTCATAACTGAAATGTTCTCGTCACTAATATCAAATAGGATGCCAAAATGATACCAACATGCAATCTACCAAGAATACTAATATGCAATCTAGAAGATTTAACAATCATAACTCAAGCATTATGTAGAATACCAAATATTGCTCATAATAGGTTAAACTCAATATAATCTCATGTAACTAATGTAATTCCAAAAAAAATGAAGCATGTTCAAGGTATAACAATTCATATGCCAAGAAAAATCATGAATTCCAATATATAGCACACATTTAAGCATAGGTATGATTCTTAGGCAAGAGTATCATCAAAGAGTATACATTGCAAATCATATGAAACATAATCAATCTTTTTCATATCAAAGTAATAACAGTATTAGCTCAAGGGATATAAGATAGAATTTTTACCTCAAAAGCTTAAGAGAGTATATAAGGCATACCTTAGGTTCATGAGATGGAAGCTTTTCAATCTTCAATTTTCTTTCATGAGGAGTTCATCTCAAAAGGGTTTAACAA